CAGCCGACTTCTCTAGCCGGCCTCAGGCCGGGTGGAGGTCTAGTCTTTGATTGTCGTTTTACTCAGTTTCAGTAGTATTCTAAAATCGATACACTGGATTGACTATTCGAGAATTCGTCTCTATTGTCGTTTTTATAAATACCATATGAATGATATCATTACGTGATTAACGCCAATAATTAATACAGCAGGCTCAAAAAATGGATCGATCGACCCGAACTTTCTTTGGTTTACCGGCGAAGGTTTAGTAGTAAGAAAACAGAAAAAATACGATTTTTAAGAACCAGTTTTAATCGATAAAAGAAAGACTAAAATCTATTAAAATTAATTTTTAGAGCTGAAAAAGCAGGTTTCAAGCAAAGTTAAGAGAGACTCCACCAGAAGACCGACCATGTTATAGCTACAGTAAAAATTTTATATTTTGAATTCGTTCATTTAATTCGAAAGTCTACAAAAAATTGTCATGAAAACAGAAATATCAGTTCATTCCGGTTTACTTGTATAAAAATAATACGAAACGCAACATTTCGAAACATCGAAGCACACTCGAAACATTGACTTTTCAATTCTGATTGTATTTTGCAGTTTTCTCGTCTGTCATCTGGTGGTTTGAGACGTGAAACATCTCAAACGATAGAGATATTTTTCTTTACAAAACATGTTATTTCTTTTCTATTGTTTTTCGAACGCTATCTTTTATTAACAAGAGATCAATCAAAGAAAAATAGGGATACCATTTCGATCATGCATTTTAGTATCATGGGAAAAAGCACTAGCAGAGTAAGAGTTACTAGTATGGGTTTCAAACGTACGTCTTTGAATAGTCGTCTACTTTCATTCATCTCGATTTTATAGAAAGAACCGAAAATTAACCATTTTCATGAGTGTATTGAATAGAGAGACGTTTAACTTGATGATTGTGGCAATCGATAACATAGAACATGCCATGTCGACCAATGAACAGTTCGTGGGCCCTCACGATTGATTTGCTCTTTCTCCTCAACCCTTTCCACCCACAATGATAATACCCTGTTTCGCTTCTTTAGGCCAATGCATCACTTGCTGATTCCTATATTCTGCCACATAGATGATATCCAATGTATCGATAAACAGTTCTATAGGACAATATAATTATGTCAGAGCCTTCCATTTACCTTGACTACCGGCGATGCCAATATCTTCTTTTGCGTCTTCATCTCGTTTCATCAAACGATGATTACAGTTGTCTGATACATGGACAACCTGTTGTTGATCGAGAAAGATGCAGGTCGACAAGTTGAGTTGCATGTTTGTCGATGTCACAGATGTAGAAATATCTCTGATCATGCATGGCTAATGCGTTACAAAGTGTATTCTGGAGAAGGATATTTTCTTGAGTTCTATCACTACTACGAGATCGTCGTATGGCTCGTTGACTCTCTTTGTAACATATAATGAGATTATCCGCCTCTTTGTCGATCAGCACATCAGTTAGATCATTCAATTGGTCCAATCGATTTTCTTGACCATGGTCAACAGCTACCATTGGATCATTTGTATCACCGATATTCAATTGGATGATTCGATAGTTACAGTAGTCTGCTTCCAGCAATTGTCATCCTAGTTTGTATCAATCGAGCTTTTACTGAGAAAAAGAAACATTCAAATGGTTAACTGTAAACTCGATAGATCTATCAAACGAAAATACGAAAAACTAGAATAAATTCTAACATATTTTACACTTTACTCTACATATAATGCTATATCTTTATTAATAGCTTTCATAGGTGAAAGAATAATTATTCATTTGTTAAAATATTTTTCAAAGTTTGATAATGAACAATAGTTAATGGTGTGATCAATATTTTTAATACAACAAGAAACGAAAATAAAAATATGCGAATACAAATGATAAGTGTATAATGAACATTCAGTGTGTTCGAAATAAAAAAATTCACCACGTATACACGTATACGTAATAGCAAATAGATTTGATAAAGGAAAAAAATCAAGTTTTTGTTTTAAACCATCCTTATCGGAATCATGTTAATAAAATACATTAGAACCAAGAAACATTGTAATGGAAATGACGTGTCATCATAAGATTTTCTTGAATGCATTGATTATTTTCTAATACAACCAATAATATATATTTAAAATCTAATTTATAAACAGAATACTAACATTTCTGACCAACTATATCATCTGTTTTATATTCTATCTAACTTTTTGCTTCAATTCGTTTTTTTTTGTGTAAATACATTTAATTCTTCTGTTTCTATTTTTAAATCTTAATTGAATATTCATGTTGTTGAATGAATATGTTTTATCATAGAAAAAAACAGAAAACGTCGGATAATAAATCAGAATTAAAACCGAACAAATCAATAGCATTATCTATTTTTTTTGCTTTATTAAATAATCGAGAGGTGTTGTCTTTGCTAAAAATAAATACAAACGGTGAAACATTTTTCTTTCGATGCTAGACATTCCTCCACATGCCATTTTGCCAAAAATCTTTTTTATTATTTTGTTATCTAAAACAATAATTGGAAGTGTTCATTTTTCACAACTTTAAAAAATAGTATTTCTTGTTCTTATCTAGTATTCTATAAGGATAATTTTTTTCCATCGTATTCGTGTTCAGTGTATTTAAGTAAGATGACATAAGGATATTTAAAAAACTATCTAAAAAATGTAAAAATCATAATCGATGGAGAGTTAAAAAGAGAAGGTACTTTTCATACATAATGCACAAAATAGAGAGACTCCGGACTAGACAGATGTGAACCAGGAAAAAAAGAATATCTTAAAAACAGAACCGATATCGGTATTAAGGAAAAATTTGTGCTAGAGATTTATTTTTAATATAATAATACTTTTCGCTGTACATGTTTCAATTCAATCTCCCAAAGACTAAAAAATGTAAGAGAATAGAAGCCCTATATCGATTCAGTATTAGTATATCTTCGTCTACCAAAATAAAAAATCCTATTCATGAAGTCTTGTTAAATTCTTATAAGATTCTACAAATTCTTATTGTATGATCTTCTATGTACAGATAATATCATAGAAAAATCGTCAAAGATCTTGTACGATTTTCAAGATCAACCTGTGAGACGGCTAACTTACGAAAAATCTTAGCCATTGGAAAAATTAATATCAAGTATTGTTGTAAGATTTTTATGAAGCCTCTCTGACATTTTCAGTTTCGTGCGATCCTATCGAAAAGTCAAATAAAATCGCGTCAGATCGTTCGATTTTGTGAATATTTTACCATACTATTGATTAAGTTTTTTTCAATGACTATTTTGCTAGGATTTTGTGTGACTCTTAAAAGATTTTGGACCAGACCAATCACTGAAGCTTGAAATATTTTACGTTCTATTTGCTTGACCTTGAAGCGTTCCCAATGATATCGTTTTATACGATACTGTAAGATCCTAATTTCCACTTCTCTTGGTTTGTCCTGTTAAAAAAATGTTGTTTTATATCATATATACATATATATGTGGCGTCGAAGTTATTTTCGAATAACTAAATATCAAACAATCATCGTTTTATTGATGATGATAAAATCAAAATATATACTTATAGTTAACTTTCATTTTAAAAATGTGTATCATTTTCATGATCTGCTTCGTCTTTGTGTGGAGTTGTTATAAGAGCTTTTCTTTTAGTTGCTCTGGTTTCAAAGTGAGAGAAAGTATATTTACAACTAATGAAATAGACTCTTAAAATGTTAAGCTCATATTTAAACAAACGTTTAAGCATATGAATTTTCATGTGAATGGATTTAGATGAAGAGCTGACCCAAACCTATAGATATGACTACTGTAATAACAAACTTTTTACAATGTTCTAGCAAATGACTCTCGTGGTCATGGATATACTTTTAATAGAACCATTGTGAGTTGAGCGGGACCATGTTATCAAAGCCTAATTCAGTTTCGAAGCTTGTAATATATTCATCTCACAAAATACATGACATTCCATGTAAAAAAAAGACGCTTAAAAATCAGTTTATAATCTATTATAATGGCACTATTTTAATCTAATTAAAATCAGATTTTTTAGCATTACAAGAAAAAATTATTTTGATTTTAATCATTTTTAATCAATTTTAATAGATTAAATTTTGGTTATCGATTAAAATAGATTAAAATCAAAATAATTTTTTCTTTTAATGCTGAACAATCTAATTTTAATCAGATTAAAATAGTATCATTATAATAGATTATTAATCCGAAAATAATCGATTTTAATATAATTTTGAGTTGTGTTTTTACATGGGATATCCTTCATGCGCCATAGAATTGTTATCATATATATGTGAACTTCAAAGTGGATACTATTAGTGTCCTTTATACACTACATCAACTACGTATTATTTTCTTCCTAAGTATATATTCATATGATGAAATGTAATACCCTAACCTATACTGAATGTCTTTCTTTTACATAAACATTGGTTCTAATTATCACATATGTTTTATCCGAATAGTTCATTCATTTACATGTAATAATATAGACAAATATTTAGTAAGTTGTCGAGGTTAGTAAAACGGCAATCAGCTATTTATAAAATGAACACTTTGATAGCTGTAAATGGCATATTAGATAAATATTCATTTGCTCATACGTCAAAGTTTATGACATAACCGA